GTGACAGCATCAAAGCTATTTTTAGTGGAGTGATCACCAGCAAGAAGCTGAAAACGGCTGCTTTCAACTATAAACAGTGGAAAGAAAGGATCATTTATGCCCTGCTGCAGCTCTTGAGTCCATTTATATGGGAGACAAAGGGGTGTGTAAATCTCTTCTTCAAAGTTATGCAGGCATCTTGTGCCTGTTCAGAGCCCGTCACCTCTGCAGAGAAGAGTAATGTTAATTTAGCGCTTGGCTGCGCTGGCTCTGAGTTAAACTAGATGCGCAGATAATAGTGAATTACAGGACTGTCCTTCTAGGTGTCCGTTCTGAAAAGAAGACACTGTATAGATGCACAGAATCATCCAGTAAATTTTTATTTCCTGTAGATCACAAAAATCGAGACAACAGGAAGTGGGAGGTGGGCTATATTTTCCTCATGGCACAGTGGAGGGAGCAAGTCATTTACTAGCTGAAGGGCCCTCGTGACTTCACCTTTCCCATTTAAGTGTTCTGAGCTGCAAAATGAAGATGATGATATCAGTTCTATGTACTTGATAAGGCTAGTTTTTCTAGCAGACGTCTATTGGACACCTAACTCTGTGCCAGCCACTGAGAACTTTAGACGAACAGAACAGTAATCTTCCCCAGACTTCACAGTTATCAAAAGTTCAGAAAAAACCAGAAGTAAAACCAGTGAATCCCTGAAGTAGTAATTAGTAGAAGTTTATTGTGCACACACCAAAAAGACAGTTTGCAAACTGGAAACACTCAAACCAAAACATGGACTGAAGCTCCGAGGTGTATTGTTAAAACCCAGCTTATGTGGTGTGGAGGCAATGACTGTTTATTCTGCACAGTGATTGGTTACAATGTTAGAATTTTCTTAAATGAAAGGGAATTGGTTAGCAGTTCCCTCATATCAATTTTGGTAACAGTTTAGGTTTCGCTTATGATTTTCGGAGACATAAGCAAGAAGTGACCCAGGTCAAGTTAGCCTCCTTTGTCTTGCAAAATAAGCTAAATTAAGCTTTGCTGGTATGACTAAACTGGTTTTGTCTGCTCAGGGAATTTTCAAGTCTGGGCTCCATTTGTGTTTGATTTTAACACAGTCTAGCTACATAAACAAATAGATTACAGTGGGAGAGGCTGGATCTGCTCTGCACATGGAAGGAGGTGGTAGAAGACAGGATGAACAGAATCTTCAAGAAGGCCTAAGAGTTTGCAAAGAGGACAGTAGTGGGAGGGCTATTTCAAGCAGGGGCAGCCAAGTGAGTTAGACAGAGGGAAGAGGCATTCTGGTGTGTCTGGGGACCCTGAGCAACTTGCTATTGCCAGAACAACAACAAAATAACAAGACAAGAGATGGCAGGAGATGAAGCTGGAGCAAGTTGAGCCAATTGCTTAGAGCTAAGGAACTTGGAAGTGACACAGGCCACCAGGAGCCAGAGAGTGGTTTGAAACACACGATTGACCGGATTATATAAAAATAAAGTGGAGCCATGGCGAGTGAAAGTCTGTGCATCTGCAGATAGGAAGTGGTAGCATTTTCATTCAAGCGTTGTAAGGATGGCCTGGGCATAAAGTATCTTCCCGAGAAAGGCTAAGGCTGGGACTTTGGGCATTGTCCTTGAAGAGGGGCAGGTCGAAGCTACAGAAGTAGCATATTGGGAAGACCTTTGCAAGCTGGATTTAGTGCTGGTCTCTGCAAGCGAGTGGGAAGGATGGCTTGTGTCCTTCAGGAGTCCTCAGGCCACCTAGCCCCGATGAGGAGGGTGTGAGCCCTGGATGTGACAAGCGTGCTGCATGTGGTCAGTGGACACGTGAGGGTGAGCATAGTGACTGGGCACCAGGAAGCACCGTCTGTACTTGGGAGTCGAGTTTCCCCCAAAAAGTTTCAGGAGGCTAAGGTTGTCCCGAATATGCTTAGAGCTTCAGTTATGGGGTAACTCTTCAATGCCGTGGGGATTCAAAGAAGAGGAAAGTGCAGGGCAAAAGAAAGCAAAACAGAAAAACCTCATTCAAAGCTACACTTAACTGTTATACCCGGGAAAAAATGGTCCAGAAAGTCACCACGTACTGCCAAATTTGGTAAAGCGAAATCTGCACACCTCCATATCTATAACTATGGCCAAGAAGTAATGTTACTTTTTTGAAACTGTATTCTCTTTGAGTTTAATACTGTCAAGGAGGTTTAGCAAAATTATTTGCTTCCTTTCCCTTTAAGGAGAGGAATGGATGTTTCTGTAAGTTTTCTAGGAGAATCAAATGGATGTCAGGTATTAGGCATATAAGAGGCGGTTACTTAGGCCCTAGCTCACATGAGATGGGAAGAGGCCCACTGCACTTGGGTTTCCCAACCACTGCTCCGTTGGTTTTCCTGAGCAGGGCTCAGAGTACACATGGGGTGCTTTGAGAAGAGGAGAAAGTCACAAGCAAGCAATGACAGGTGATAGGGCAGTGGCCAAGGATCACGTGGAGAGCAGGGAGCACTTTGGAAGGTAGGGCCAGCTCTTTATGCTGAGTTGAATGTATCAGGACAAAGACACAGTTTAGGTGTCAATGCCAATCATAATATTTATTGCCTTGGCAGATATAAGAGATTACTTTTTGGAAATGGAAAATTGCTTTTTGTCACTTCAAAGCCAACCATAAATAGATCCAATAAACCAGAGGGAAAATGTTTCATAAAAAATAAACTTCTGCATTGTTACGTACAACGTTAGCATTTTTTGTGTGTCTGGATTTCTACCCTTGATGTAATATTTAGACAGAGGTGTGCAGCTCTGTATCATCAGCTTTCTAAAATCAGCATTTCTATCTCTCCTCTTTGTGGTGGGGTGTGGGATGGGAGTAGCCCTCGAAGGGAGGAAATGAATAATCAAGGTAAATCACAATTTTCCCACAAATAGGTCATTTTCCTGTCTGTGACAGGTTTTCAGCATTGCAGGAAGTATCGGGAATCACACTGGGTCAAAAACGTGGATCAAACACTTACATCTCTTGATCTCTACGAGCCTGAAAGGTAATAGGTCCTAGTGACTTTTGAGGTTTTTCTCTGAAAGTTGTATTAGTTCAGCGGAATAATGAAGGGTAACGTCCTTAGCATTATCTGTATTGGGCAGAGTGTGGTTGTTTGTCATGGACTCAAAGGATACTGTTATCCTGGGACAGATGATACGAGTGTGGCCTGCCTTTCCTACTTCTTAGTCATGGGAGATGGCCCAAGGATTTCTAAAACCTGCCACTGAGTTCTAGGTGAAATGGTATTTTCACTCAAGGGCTATTTCCTCTTTTTTTTTTTTATTTGAGGAAGTTAGCTCTGAGCTAACATCTGCTGCCAATCCTCCTCCTTTTTTTTCCTTTTTCTTTTTCTTTTTTTTTTTGCTGAGGAAGACTGGCCCTGAGCTAATATCCATGCCCCTCTTCCTCTACTTTATATGTGGGACGCCTGCCACAGCATGGCTTGACAAGCAGTGCATAGGTCTGCACCCAGGATCTAAACCAGCAAACCCTGGGCTGCCGAAGCAGAATGTGCGAGCTTAACCACTACACCACTGGGCTGGCCCAAGAGGTATTTCCTCTTAAAGGAGTGGATTTTAGATGAAAATTTCCCACTATTGCTTGTCTCCAATTACACTGACTCTGTCTAGAGTCCCCAAGTGGTTCTACCTGTTAAACTGAAGCCCTTTTGCACCATTGTGAAGACCTCCACAAAATCACTGCCAAAGGAAGGAGAGAGAAGCAAGCTGGGCTTCCTCAGTCTCAAAGGCCCTCCACCCCAGCACGGCCAGAGGGCAAGGCCTAAGAGCTCTCCCTATGCCGCCTCCAGCCATCTCCATCTCAGAGACCACCATCATCACACAGGCTGCTCCTTGAAGGGCTCGGTGTCTATAGTCGTTGAGCAGTGGCTCAGACGGAAGTTCCTTGAGAAAGTCTCCAGGTTTCACTGCCCCAGGAGTGCTCCCAAGAGAGTGTATGAAGGGCCTGCTCTCTGGGCTGTGATAACAGCCAGCGTTAAATGAGCAGGTACCGGGTGCCAGGCCCTGTGCTGAGCACCCAGCAAGGTGCATGACACCTTTAGAGGATCTCTGGTTTCCCAGGGAGACAGCTGGACAGTGGTAGGGGGTGGTTGGTGTTGAAGTCCATGTGTCAATGGCGGCACTGTTGGGTCTCAAAGAAAGGACAGATGAGGGTCAAGTCAGGGTAGGCCTCGTGGAAGAAAGTTTTTCAGTGGTTTCTGCCCAACAAGAGGGTCGTTGTCCAGAAGGCGCTAGTGTCCAGTTTCATGGCATAATGATCAAGGGACCCAAGGGCAGTGGTCTCACAGCTGTCTATCAAGAGCTTTCTGTCATCTTCTGTGCAACCTCAGATCCTTTCTTTTGTTTGTTTATGCATCCGTGTCTCTTCGTCTTAGACAACAGGATAGTTTTTTCATTACCATGTCCCCATAGCAGGTGTAAAAACATGTTTGTTCAGTGGATGGACAGGTGAGAGAAAAGAAGGTGGGAAAACCAGCTCCTACTTCCAGATCCTTGGGACAGAGGAGCAGAAGGTGCCACCTGCCCTAGGTAGTGTCTGGCTGACCATTAGGAAATGTCTGTTCATTTATTTACTTTCCATCTATCTATCTATCTTTTAAAATTCTAGTAAAATACACATAACATAAATTTATCATCTTAACCATTTTAATTGTACAGCTGAGTGACATTGAGTACGTTCACATTGTCATGTGACTATCACCACCATCCGTCTCCAGAACTTTGTTCACGTTGCAAAACTGAAGCTCTGTACCCTTTAAATAACAGCTCCCCACTTTCTCCTCCTCCCAGCCCCTGGCAACTGCCTTTCTACTTTCTGTCTTTTATGAATTTCACTACTCTTAGTACCTCATATAAGTGGAATCATATAGTATTTGACCTTTTGTGACTGGCTTATTTCACTTCGCATCATGTCTTCAAGGTTGACCTGTGTTGTAGCATGTGTCTGAATTTCCTTCTTTATTAAGATTGAATAATATTCCATTGTATGTGTATACCACATATTCCTTATCAATTCATCCATTGATGGACACTGGGTTGCTTCTGCTTTTTGCCTGTTGTGAATATGCTGCTGTGAACATGGATGTACAAGTGTCTCTGAGTTCCTGCTTTCAGTTCTTTTGGGTGTGTACCCAGAAATGGAACCACTGTATTGTGTGGTAATTCTGTGTGTAATTGTTTGAGGAAGCGCCATACTGTTTTGCTTAGCAACTACTGTTTTAAGGGGATGTCTCAATTACCTAACTTTTCGTATGTATGTCTTGCCTCTCCTCTGTGAGTTTTACAAATGCAATCCTCCTGCCTCTGTTCCGCTTATGTCCTTTGAACTGGACTGGTTAAAATTCTGGCCCTGTGGACAAGTTTGGGTTAACACCGTGGATCGACTGGTTGGGCCATAGTCAGCCCAGATTCTGGATTCAGGAACTTACCGCCATTCTCTTCTCAACCTTACCTTTGGAAAAGTTAAGTTTATCCCTTTGGCCCCTGGGGAGATGTTCTCTGGGGGAGTCCCAGGCTGCATCAGGGATTAAGCTAGAACCAAACTGGCCCTGGACGTGTAGCTCTTGGAACAGCTGCTCTGCTTTCCTCAACTCCACCATTTTAATTGTGATTAGTAGGTTCATTTGCATCTAAAAGGAGTAGTTTTCTTATCAGCACCATTGAGTTGGGAACCAGTGTGCTCCATTTATATAGAGTGGCCCATTTTAACCAGGCCCATTAAGCAGTAAAAGTAAATGTGGGTGTTTTACAAATGCAAATATATCATGCAAATAATGTACTTTATGCTGAATGATGTCTTGGTTTTCATATGTAAAATTAGAAACTGTGTAGCACGAAGATAATGATAAACACCTTTGCATCTGTTCATAAGATGTATCATGAGCTGTATGCATCTAAAACTGAAGCTGAGTTTTCTAGCAGAATGTCTTCAGTATACCCAAACATGCATTCCATGTTATGAGAGCTATACATGTACTTATCTAGTTATTTATATATTCCTAAGTAATCAAGAAATCACCGAAAAGAGTAATCCAAATTACCTAACCTATTACTTAGCATCACTGATGAGATTTATAATTTTGCTTCCATTTTCAAAGATTTTTAAGGTTTTATCTGAGATGATGGTAAAAGAAGAAATGTTACTATATAGGCTAGTTCCTTTGTAAGAGACTTAAAAATGTCTGCAAGAGTATTTTCTAATCCTTAGTGTTTGAAATAATTCTGTGAATGATATGCAGGTAGCATTTTTGCTGTTTTATAAAATCACTTAGTAGAATAATGACAACCATCTTCTGTGTGCAGTGAACTTGGCCAAGGTCTAGGACGGAAGTCACCTTTAGACTCTGCCCACATGGGGTTTCGCTCTTTGGAAAAGTAAGACCCACACCTGTAGAAAATGAATTAAAGGTATAAGAAGACGTCAGATCAGGAAATACCACAGAGTGTGGTCAGTTCCCAAATTGGCTGTGCAGATAGTAATTATCAGACAATTCAGAGGTGGGAGAGGTCCCAGGGTGGAACTGACCGGAAAAAGTTTCTCCAGGATCTGGGATTTGAGTCGAACCCCATAAAGGAGGGGTAGGACTTGAATAGGAAAGAGAACAGGGCAGCCGGGCATTCCAGGCAGACGGAAACAGAACTGGCTTGAATGGGCCCTTAGAAATAGATGGGGTACACGTGTGTTCTGGAGACCTGTGTCAGGCAGGGAACCTATTGGACTTGACTCTGCCTGATAAGCTGTTGGTTTTCACATACTTTTGTAACCAGCAAACTCTTCAAATGAAAAATGATATGAAAACTCAATGCATAAGGCACTTAAAAAGAGATCCTTTGTTTTCATTGGGGCGGGACCTCTTCTAGACACCCATCCCTCCACCCCCACCATTGACAGCACTGTAGGCACCTCTTGGGGGTTTCTTGGGGAACCGCTTGTAAACCAAGGGGAGAGCTCATGAAGACGCTGTGCTTTGAGAAGGCTGCTGTGGTGTTAGGCAGGGTGGACTGGGGTGAAGGGAGAGATTGGAGGCGGGAAGACTTATTAAGATCCTACTGGGAACATCTACCATGACTTGACCCAGTAGAGTAGAAATACAAGGAAGGGAAAGTGCCAGAGACATTTGAAAGAAAGAGTTGACGGGAGTGGGTGACAGCAGACAGGGGTGTGGGAAAGGAATGAGTTAGACTCCAGGACTTTTGACTTAAAAATTTTACAGGTCAGCAAGGGCTGAATGAGTTTTCTCGTCTTTGTATTTATGAGGAATGAGTTATATTGTAAACTTTTATTCCCTCAGCAAACGTTGATAGTTGCCAGCCAAGTTGCAAGCACTGTGGCAGGTGCTAGGGATTTAGGAAAAGAAAGACACATGTGTCTCCGTGTTGCAGGGAGTCTGTGCACCATGTGGAAAGGAAGGCAGCTGTGGACACTGTTATAAGTTGAATTGTCGTCCCCCCGAAATTCATATGTTGATGTCCTAATGCTCAGCACCTCACAATATGACTTTATTTGGAAATAAGGTCATCGCAGATGTAATTAGTTAAGATGAGGTCATAGTGCAGTAGGGTGGACCCCTAAGCCAATATAAAAAGGGGAAATTTGGACACAGATGAGAACACACAGGGAGAATGCCACGTAAACATAAAGGCAGAGATCTGGATGATGATGATGTATATTTAGGCCAAAGATTGCCAGCAACCACCAGAAACTAGGAGAGAGGCGTGGAAAAGATTCTTGTTAAGCCCTTAGAAGAAACCAGCCTTGATCTTGAACTTCTACCCTCCAGAACTGTGAGACAAGAAGTTTCTTTTGCTTCAGCCTCTCAGCTGTGGTACTTGTTGTGGCAGCCCTCAAGAACTAATGGAGACACTGAGAGATCCAGGGCAGTCTAGAAGGTGCCCGTGGGGACCAGTAGTGGGGGGACAGCCGAGTACGGTATCAAGACGCAGCCGGAGGTACGTTCCAGAGTCTGGAGACAAGGTTGGCTGGAGGTGCAGAATTGGAAAATCCAAATTTCCCATGAGTGCATGAACTCTCCAAGGAAAGAAAAATGAGTAGAAAAGAAAAGAGGACTAAAACTCTAGAAATGCTCATAATTATGGGGCCAAGGCTGGACAAAGAGCTAACAGAATGTTAGAAAGGAGATGGGAGGAGAAGAACCAGGCTAGGAGGGTGTTTTGAGGCTAAAATTGGAAAGGATTTTAAAGAGATAATGTCAAAAATTATAGGGAGTTTATATAATCAGAAAAAAATAATAAAGCAAGCCTCTCATGTGAGCGCATGTGGGGGGTATGGAGTGGGGCAAGGGAGAGACTGTAGTGCCCTCAAGGGCTGTTAGGCCTGGACAGCTGGGTGACTGGAGGCCTCTGGTGACCCCTGATAGAAGAGGACTGCAGCCAGTCCAGGGAGACTGTGACGTGAAGCGGTGGACGTCAGGCACGCAGTTCCCAACTCGTGGGCTTTGTTAGTGCACAGCAGGGTTATGGGAGCCAAGAGGGAGATCTGGACGCGAGGGGATGTTTGATGATGGATAAGACAAACTCCTAGTCCTGAGAACAGGAAGGCGAGTGGAGGCGAGGGGTAATGGAGGGAAGGAGATTCTAGAGGAAAAGAAGGGCCGAAGGGGAGTTACTTTGGCAGAGAAGAAGATACAGACACTGGGGGAAATAACAGAGAATGAATGAACTTAGGGAGAGTGGCTTTGGTTGTAGAAAAGAGGAGGTGATGTTGCCTGATGAGGTGTAGAGAGGGACGTTTGGGACTTGGTGAGTGGAGAGAAGATTGGGGCCAGCTTAGTTGGTTTGCTGACCACTAGGTCAGTGGTTCTCATTTGGGGGCAGTTTTATCCTCCAGTGGACACATGGCAGTACCTGGAGACCTTTTTAGTTGTTACAGCTGGGGAGAGGGTGCTACTGGTATCTAGTAAGTAGAGGCCAGGGAGGTGGCTGCACACACTGCGGTGCACAGGGCAGCCCCCGTGACACCAAATTATCCAGCCCCAAATATCAGTAGTGCCGGGGTTAAGAAACCCTGCCGGAGGTCAACAGCAATTCTCAAATGTGTCTGAGGAGAGAAGCCCTAAACTTTGTAGCGTGCTTGGTGGAACGTTATGAAACATTGATATACAGTCATGCATCGCTTAACAACAGGGATACGTTCTGAGAGATGTGTCATCTCGTGATTCCCTCATTGTGCGAAGACCATAGAGCGTACTTACACAAACCTAGATGGTGTAGTCTACTGCACACCTAGGCTATACGGTACAGTAGTCCCCCTTACCCTCAGTTTTGCTTTCCGTAGTTTCAGTTACCCATGGTCTGAAAATATTAAATGGAAAATTCCAGAAATACGCAATTAGTAAGTCTTTAATTGCACGTCTGAGGAGCGTGGTGAAATCTGGTGATGTCCCACTTCGTCCCCCCCGGGTATGAATCACCCGTTTGTCCAGCGCATCCACACTGTGTTCACTAACCACCTGTTAGTCACTTAGTAGCTGTCTCGATTATCAGATCGACTATCGAGGTATTGCAGTGCTGTGTTCAAGTAACCCTTACTGTATTTAATAATGGCCCCAAAGCACGAGAGTAGGGATGCTGGCAATTCAGATATGGCAAAGAGAAGCAGTAAATTGTTTTTCCTTTAAGTGAAAAGGTAAGAATGGTCAACTTAATAAAGAAGGAAAAAAATCAGATGCCAAGGTTGCTAAGATCGATGGTAACTCTTGTTATAGTATATTGTTATAATGGTTTTATTGTATTATTATTGTTGTTAATCTCTTACTGTGCCTAATTCATAAATGAAACTTTATCATAGGTATGTCTGTATAGGAAAGAACATGGTGTATATAGGGTTCAGTACTATCTGCCGTTTCAGGCATCCACTGGGGGTCTTGGAACTTAACCGGGTTGGTCAGGCGAGACCGCTTGATTAATCTTAGGGGACCACTGTCGTATCTGTGGTCTGTTGTTGACCGAGATGTCGTTTGGTGTCACGTGATTGTATTGAAAATAGCTCTAGCTCTTACTCCAGAGCTTCTGTCTGAGTCTCACACCATTTCAGCCCCCAGCATATCTGGGGCCTTGGCTGTGATAGGCGCACAAGAACTATTTGCAGGTTGATCCAGCTGGAGCCAGGATGAGTCTCCACTTTTAACATTTGGCTAAAGTGACAGCGATTCCATTCCTCACCACAATTCGTGTTTTTCCTCAGAGTGATCTTGCCACACTCTCAGTTGTGGTTTCTGAGGTCCTGCTCTCACGTCAGTAATGCCTTCCCAACAATTGCCAGCCTCTGAACATCGGCCGGTTGGCATGTTTCCACCCGGTCTCTTCTGCCTTTTGATTGCACGACCCTGAAAGGTCACTGCGGGCAGCCGTCCTTGCCAGTTTGGATCTCTGCAGGATTCTACGTGAAGTTATCTGTTTCTTGTTAGCTTTCTTTAGAGCTGGTGGCATCTCTGATGCTGCT